TGAGGGAGGAGGGGGGGGGGGGGTGGTTGGGTTGAGGAGGAGGAGGAAGAGGAGCTGTGGATTGGGCGGGAGACGAGGCGATTTTGGAAGCAGGATGGAGGGATCTGGGGAATGTGAGCAGCGTGGTGGGAGTTGTTGTTTGGTGGATAGCAGATGCTGGTAATTCGATGGGAGTTGGGTTGAAGTGGCTGAAGCAGGGTGTGAGTTGGTGGAATGGGTTGAGGTGGTGGTTTGACCAACCTTAGCGGCTATGGCTGGAGTCTGGGGAGGTTTTTGGGAGTTGGGAGTTGGGAGTTGGAGAGAGTTGGAAGAGAATTTGGCGCGAGCAGCTGGAGGCTTCTGGCAGCGGCAGGTCGCGCGTGGCCGGAGGGGGAAAACAGGCACGGCTCTTTGCTACGGCCAACTTCACAACTTCCCAGCAACTCAACTCAACTCAGCTCAGCTCAGCTCTCAGCTCAGTAGTTCCCCAGGTAGTTAGTTAATTATATATACCTTGGGAGCCAGTTGGTTGACTAATGGTCGCATATATTTTACTGCAGTTTCTCTCTCTCCAACTGTCTCCCAGTTGATTCTGTGCCTATGTCTGGAGGTTAGTTATGGTTCGCCTTGTGCAAGCTTCCCGCTTCCAAGGTTCTTCTCGGAACAGCACTTCAAGATTTGTCTTTGCGGTAGTTGCAATAACTATTCAATCTTTCTTCCTATAAGCAAAGAAGCAAAAGAAATCCATAAGGATCTCCTTTTAAGAGGACGATAGATTCTCGAAATTATTCCTGAAGGCTTCAAGCGTTTTCATTCTTTTTTTAGAAGGTTCTAAATATGATATCACAGATCCCACAGTGAAAGCATGCACCCGCAATAGATTGAAGCATTAATCTTGATTATGTTACTGTGTCTATTCTACAGTTACAACACGCGTGTATTATATACCACGGTTGGAGGAGCGTAAGATGGATGTCGAGAAGCAGAGGCACCTAATAACTACTAGGTTGGAGGAGATTGCTATGCGCGCGCTGATCATCAGCATCCAGACAAGTTTCATCGACGGTCTTGCATTTCAACCAATGCTGAAAGCCAGGGTCACTGATGTTTTGTCATCGCTCTCTTGGTCTTTGTTGCCAGTTTGCCCCGGTAGGGCTTGCTCGGAGAGACAGTAGAGGCTATGAGGCCATTCGCTGCCCTCCTTTCGTGAAGGAGTTCTAGAAAGGGGAATTGGGTGACTTCTCTTTGCGATGGGTTTCCTGAATAACCTGGGGCAGTCTCGTAGGTATCGGGGCCAGCGCAGGAGAGGGAGAGGCGAATACAGAGGCGCTGGTCTTGAGGAACTGGGACTTCATTAACATCTTCTTCTTAGAGTGTCTGGGATGATCCGCTTTGTTGCCTCGGGATATTTGATGGGGAATCGTGTCTTCCCATGTGACACGGCCAATGCCTCTGGCACGCATTTCTTTCGTCCTCCTCCACGTCTGACTTGGACTAAATGGATTATGCTTGGTCGTTGCCTCTCACTTGATAAATGCATCAAAAAGTGCGTCGCGGGATACATTGTCCTGACTTCGCAACCAGTGTCTGCGTCTGCGAAGATGCACTCTCTCATCGTCACGAGATTGGGAGAGTTTGGTGGTAGAGACAGGAGTAGCTCGATACATGATATCTTCTCATTCTATAGTTTTCTGCCCTGGAACTTCCCGCAAGATTGTGCGGCGACAAGATATCCGCATCCTTTGGAGTAAAATCACAGAACACACAGCCTGGATGTCACCTCTTCGCAGAAGCAGCGGCAACCTTGGAACCCAGCGCTTTCCCACATACATACAGTAAGAGAAAAGCAAAAACACACAGCAGCAAGCGGCATTTTCCATGGCTGGTTAATGAGAAATTTGCGTCAATCAGAAACTCGAAACGTTTCGATCCTCATCCCTCACTGAATTGAAAAGATGCTTAATCACCCAAGTACTCCCCCAAAACATTCTGGTGGACGAATAAAATCGCTCGTGCCACGAGCTGCATCGGAACCACTCTCTGAGCATCCGCCCGAGCATCAAACGCCTTCAGGCGGAAAATTTTTGACTTCAGAGGCCCCTTACGGCTCCGTACATCCCCATACATGATACATCTCATTTTCGCCTTGTAGAAAACCAGCGCACCAGACAGATATGACAAGTGTTTAATGAGCGGTGGAATTTCGGCGGGAGGGGCCGTGAGCCGTCTTAAATGTCGCTCAGGGTGCTTGAAAATAATTTTCGCGCCAGTTTACATAAATACCCCCCCACGCTGCGGTTGCCACGTAGGTTCTGGACTAAAGAAGGTCTTAGGACTCAGGGCTCAGGAGCGAGCTGATGCATCCATGGATGCAGGAGTCCGATTTTTGTCACTGCAGAAAGTTGTTGTTTTAACGGATGGCTGAAGAGTGAGGTGGTTGAGGGATCTTCTCATCGGGCCGCTGTTTTTGCTTGCACAATCACAGCCTAAGGCTTTCATGCCTGCGATTTTGGTGTACATGGTGGGCAGCCTCTGCTCGTGTTGATAGATGGAAAAGTATTTGTATCTCTCAATATGTTTACGTGACCTTCCTCGCCGCATCCTCGCAAAGCTGATCCGATATTCTTGGACTGGATTGTTTGAACCGTGTAACCACGCAATGAACTGACCGCTCCGGGGACACAATCCAGGTGCGTTACTGCGGGACAGAGAGGAGTCAACATGCCGTAACTAACTAATCCTTTTCAAGCTAGTTAGCACAGCTAGGTGCATGTGGAATTGTCCGAATCATCGAAGGCGGAACAAACGAGAGAGGTTTACAGAGGAGCTGCTCAGGGAGGTGCAGCAGCAGCAAATCACATTGAAAGGAAAACGTTTGGAGCCAAATGGCGGGAGCATCCATTCATTTAATTATTCAATTTGAATTCATCCTCGTTCGTTCCATATTAACTCCGTACTATATCACAACTCTGTGTCGAGTCTGCGAGCACAATCTCTCCTGCCAACCTGCTAAGGGAAGGGCAAATCCTGCCAATTGAGAGTTTACGCTTTCGCAGGAGAAACCCCAGCTAAATTTCTGTAGTAGTTTGAAGATGCGAATTTCTGCCTTGAAGTTTTATGCTCAAAAACTGCAGTCTCACAGGACAGCTAAGAGTTCCTTTCCTCCCTGAAATGTCCTCTCCCTCCTGAATCTAGACGGGTCTCCTGTTTGCGACCCCATACTTTGGCTACGGTGCAACGGTAGTCGTCGTTCAACGCGGTGGCATCGCCGGCGAGCTGCCAATGAAGTTCATTCGTGGCAACGACGATGACACCCAAGCGAGCCGTCAAAGCCTCAAGCATGAAGTAGATGTCTATACACAGCTGCAGAATTGCGATGGTGTTGTGCGTTGCCTTGGCTTCCCTGAAGATTGCATTGAAATGGAGTCGATGAAGAATGGAGATCTTGCAGCATATCTGAAGGCCCAGCACCCAACTCGCTCTCTTCAGCTCTCGTGGTTTCGGCAAATGGTGAGCACCCTTGCGCGCATACACGACAGTCATGTTATCGTGGAGGATATTGCTAGGAAGAATTTCCTTCTCAGTGATGAACTCTGTTAAATTCTGTGACTTCGCGGAGGCGACAACTCTGCCTCTTGATACTGATATGAAGGCTGCTGGTGATTGTGGTTACTTAATTTACACGGATATTGGCCAATTGGATGCTGCGATATATGAAGTTATAACCGAGCAATGTTGCGAATTTGCCCCTTATACGGATCAACTACCCGGATCTGCCTTCGATGCCTGGCCAAGACGGAAAATTCTCCCCTAAGATATTTGGCATGGTTCGATCATTGAACAGTGTTGGACTAAGACTGCATTCCAAAATGCCAGAAGTCTGGTAGCTGAGTTGGAGACGATCCTCTCGATCACGGAGAGGGGATGCGTGAAAACTCACCAGGTCGTGGAGGACCCCGAAATAGGGATTAGATGGTTCCAGAGTAAATGAATAAAGACGGACATCTCCCTCTCACCGGTTGGCCTCAGGGTGTAGATCTTCCCAACAAGGCCAACATGTTCACGGGCAGTGTAAACCGAAACCTTTAAGATCAGAAAGACAATCAGAGAATGAAAGATGCCTGTGACACACTCTCCAAGCTTCCAGAGCGCGATCGCTCGAATGTAGTTTTATGACTGTGGCTGGAAGCGACTCCATATATCACTGCTCTTTACGATTTATGTCAACAATGTAGAACTGATGTGGACTTCTACCGCTTCATATATGTTTCCCTCCCTGGTTGCAGTACAACTCGCTCTGTTTCGCTTGCATTTCTTCTCAAGCGGGGTTTCTACACAGGCTCCAGGCAGGATCTGTGGGTTGCTAGATGGAGAATTGAGGTGTTGAGAGAGGAGGGGATCCAGTCAGTTGTCCAATATGTGCACTAAGCCCAATCATGGCATGCCAAAGAGGTTTCTTTAGCAAACTAATAACAAACATATATGTGAGCGAATGGGGAGGCGGAAGTTGGGAGACATTAGAAGTAGCATTGATTAAAACTCACCATGCTCATGTACCGCTCCCGGTTTGCCTTATTTATTTATTTATTTATTTTTAGTGTACTGAATGGCAGTGTGCTTGTCACTGAGGGCATACGACCACTTAGGCTTGCTTCCACTCCCAATTCCCCGTGGTTGATATAGCGAACTCAGTGTGTCTAGGTGTGGATATTGAGGCAATAATTCCATTTTGCATCCACGCTATCTGGTGAGGTCTCCGACACCGCAAAGGGATGATGCTGCACTCAATGGTAATGTCTTTTGACAGCGGACGTATAGTTTCACGTAACTTCCGAACTGTGGAATCTCTCTGACTTTATGTCCCAGGACAAGTGGGAAGAAAGAGTCCTGGCGATAACAGACCAGCCTACCTACCGTAGGTACCCTTCCAGCGGAACCATATTGACCATCAAAAGACAAATCTCATTCGAAAACAGAGCTTCACCCCTCCCCCTGCCCCTCCAATCTCAACACCATCTTTACACCCCTCCTCCCAGGCCCATAATAGTCCTCCACCCCCTCCACCTCCATAAACCCACAGCCCTTATACAACCTCCTAGCCGCCTCCCTCTTCTCGTCCACCCACAACTGCACAGCCAAACACCCCTTCTCCGCCCCCCTCAGCCGCTTCTCGATCACATAGACCAGTAATTGCCTTCCAATCCCTCGATTGCGGAATGGCTCTGCCACGCATATTTTGTGGAGGAGGGCCGTGGACCCCTGGCGGACATAGAGGGCGTAGGCGATTATGGGGTTGTGTGCCGGGGCTTTTGTGTTTGATGTGGCATTAGTACTGGTTACGATCGCATATAAAATGCGAGTATTTGGCTTCTTACGCCAGAGACTTTGGTCGGAGAAGTCGAAGGCTTCGGAGGCCGGAAAGGTTTTGCGTTCTAGGCGGTTGATCTGAGAGAGGGTTTCGAGGGCGATGTGTTTTTGGGGAATGGAATGGAGGGTGTGGATGGTGATGGGAGTCATTATCATAAAATGAATATCTCCTTATAAGATATTTCCGTACCCGTAGATAGGTGAAATGCAGTGGTGAACCCCGAGCTCTCTTTAACGGTCGCTATTATAATATCAGATCGCCAGGGCATTAAAGAGACACTCAAAACCCCACACAGGAAGTTACTTTAATCTTAGGCTCTAGACCACTGTTGGTGTTAAATATTTAGGGCTTTTAGTTAAGAGGCCTAAGGCGTGCTCGCCGAAATTCCAGTTATAATTAATTATAAGCAGGGCTTAGAGTTTGTAGACTTTTGCCTAAATATTTAAATATCTTTTTGGGGTGTTGACTTTTCGCTAAATAAATAACTATTTACATAACTAATTAAGAAGTGCAGGTCAAAACCTCCGATAGCAACCTTTCGAGGTAAATAGGTAAAAAGCCCGAGATGAGAAACCTGAAGTGAAAAGAAACAATTGATTTGTATAGGTATATATAAATATATATGACGCTCATATTGATCTTTCAAAAATATCCATTTGGCTCGAGTCAGCTCTGCAGGAGTTCCAATAATTTATTCCGGAAGCAGGCTGTTTTAAAATAACTGCGACCCTCTTCACTGAGACAAGGACCAGAATGAGGCGGGAGGGAGAACCTCAACCATCCCTCTGAATCTCCGATGTCACGGACACCAACGCTCTTTTTGACTTCGTACATCAAGTCCAGGACCAGCTCTGCCAATGGGTATCCTCTGTCTATCTTGACAAGCTTCCCTGTTAACTTGACAGGACGAGCCTTCACTATGGCGCGTTTAATGCGGGCTTGAACATGGTTTTCAGCGACGGTGTTACTTGGATGGTCTGCTTCCCTCGTGCAAGGATGGTCAGTGACGAATACGCCGACAAGAAGTGGCCATGGAGTTGACCGCCCTGAAGCTCATTGGCAGCAAGACCACGATTCCTGTCCCGAGAGTCCATGTGTGGGGTACCGCGCCAGCAACCCCGGTTGGTCTGGGTCCGTTCATTGTAACGGACTTTATTAGCGGCGTGAGCCTCAGCGACCTTCAGAAGGATCCTAATGCGGAGTGCCCCACCAGACTAATGAGGGAGGATATCAGTGATAGTGAGGTTGAAATTGCCTACAGGCAATTGGTGAATTATCTGCTACAGCTTTTCAAGTTTGATTTTGACTGTATTGGCAGCCTGCCATGGCCAGGGTGTGAAGCCTACACTGCTTCGCCCACTAACATTCAAGGCACATAACTTGCCATCCTGCAAAATGGAGGAGTTGATAGTTTATTAGTATGTCGTGCAATTTTTTTTTTTTTTTTTTTATTTCCCTTTCCTCGACGCGGTTTGTTCTAGGGTGCTTTCGCTCAGCTGATGATCTACAGGTGACCGGAGCCGGGGGTTTACAACGACGATTGAGTATTTTCAATACGTCATCGGGCAGGATCCATAATAGCTGACTTTGTTAATGCAAAATATGACCGTTGCAAGTTCAAGTTGATATGCACGACCTTGGTTTGTTGACTGTGATTATCCGAAGCTGGGAGGATCTCACTGTTGTTGGAATAGTGGACCTCGAATGGTCATACATCGGACCAGCCCAGCTGTTCGGCTCAGCACCGTGGTGTCTTCTTCAAGATAGACCCGTCAACAGCGCATGGGACTGTGAGGACGACAAGCCGCCCAAGATTACCGCCCGGTACTTCAAGTACCTGGAGATTTTCACACGCATCTTAGAGGAGGAAGTGGCAGAAGTGCCTGGATATGAAGAGCGTAAGCTCTCCAGTCTCGTCAAGTGGTCACAAACCTCCGGAGCCATGTAGCTGCACATGCTCCTTCCATTGGTTTCAACGATCATCGCAGCTTTCCATATACGCAGCTGCGCCAACACTTCGGCACTGAGCGGGCAAACCCCGACAAGGAATTGGGAATTCAGAAAAGCTTGAAGCATTTGCGGCACGAAGGTGATGGAGTTCGATAAGTATGAAAAAGCCTTGGAGAAGTGGGAGGCTATTAAAGCGCTTGTGGACAGCGGGAAGATGATGGAGGAGGAATTTGTTTTCAACACTCTGGCAGAGGACGGCTCCAATACCCATTCTTCGATGGTAGTTAATGATGAAACGAGAAATGGCGATGGGATTTGCCATGAAGTAACTGACTTCTCGACTCGCAAGTTGCAGAACTGATTGAGTCTGCAAGAGATAAAGAAATTGAGACTGTGGCGCCATGAGCTGGTGCTGCTACTGGCAAAGAAGATAATGATTTTAAAAGTCATTGAATCAGCCTGAAATGTTATGACCCGGTTACGTAGGGATTCCATTGGCATACGTGCCTATCACCATCTATTAATGAATATAACCTGTAGTTGAGAGCTTACATTCGGTATAAACATACATATATTTAGTAATTCATATCTCAATATTATCGAACTTGCCTGAATTTGTCATACCAAGGAGACTCTGAGGTCTATTTTAAATATTGAACATGGCTGTTGAGATCTTTGTAATTACTCACACTCCTTGCTCGGCATTTCAGTTTGGTAAATAAACGCGTAACTATCTTGGTCCCTACAAACGAACGCATCGCAAATTCCTCCAAAGTTCCGTAAACAGTCTCTAATCAACCTCCAATTCCATTATATATAAATCAGGGACAAAAGGACCGTCACAGACAATCCAGAAAATAGAATAAAATCCTCAAACACGTTCTTAGAGGGAAAAGAAAACCATGCCCGCCCAACCCCATCAGCAGCAGCAGCAGCAGCAACAAGACGACAAACGACAAGCCGCACGCGAAGTCATCGATATCCTCCATGAAATTTCCACGATTCTAGTACGTCCCCAGTACTATATGTATAAACACGTATATAGCATATCCCATCCGAAACAAAGAGCTCCATATCAGCAAAAATTAAAATGTTAACGATTTCGTTTTCGTTTGCTGTTGTCTCCAGAACACCCACCTCGACCGCACAGAGCTATCCCTCTGCGTCTCCCTAATTGAGAACGGAGTAAACCCCGAAGCCCTCGCTGTAAGTAGTTGGCATTTTGCTCGTATGGCAATTGTATCTACCCAATACCCAGTTTTGTGCTTATGTTCTTCTCCTCGAACACATTTTATCTCATCTACGGGGCCCCCTTTTTCTTCTCTCTGCCCTCTCTCACAAGCCCTTCCCTTGTCCTTCCCCTTTGCCCATTCCCTCCCACACGTGGAGTAGCCGTGTGGATTATCCCTCTCGCTTTAAATAAAAGATATGGGCGCTAATTTAAATCCTCTTACCGTTACATCACACACCACGCCGCTTTGATTAGGTGGTTTGGAGTGTGATGTGATTTCCCCCTAATATTTTTCCGTTCATGATACTGCAGGCTGTTATTAAAGAATTGCGCAAAGAGGCCGCTGCGACGCCAGCGGTGGATTAGAGATTTATCCACCAAAAGGAATGGAAGTATGAGGGCTGGTAAAAGGGATGGGGATGGGGATACGGCTTCTTTCTTTTCTTAATTTTTACTTTTTGATTTCTTTTCTGTTTTTGTTATGATGGCCAGGGGAAAGATATTGGTGTTCTATGCCTGCGTGCCCAGCTTTTCATACCTTATGGACGGAGAGGGTGACTGAAAACCCATTTGCGCGGTTGGGAACTTGAATGTGGAGAACTCTTCGGGAAAATACCGTATATGTATATAATTGCAAAGTTGGCTGGTGTTTCTTTTAAGGGCGTATGGATTTTGCCATTGCGATTGACTGCCTACTTTTTTAATTTCCTCTTTTACTATGTTCATTTGAGAGACTGTTTTTGGTATGCTATAAGTGAGTTCACCCCGTGCATGTGAGGAAGGGAGAGAGAGAGAAGGAAATAATATAGCTTTTGAGGTTTTTATGGTTTGTTGAAGTCATGAAGGATAGAACAGTAGTTATGTTGGGACGGCTTTTATGTATTACACTACATCCACGTTGGAATAGATAGAGAAGATTCGAGTGAAAGGTAGAGGTTTCATTGGTTATCACTTGTTCTCCCGTAACACAATGAAAAATAACCTGGCTTATAAGGCAATTTTCTTGGATATCATAAAGGGGATGAAAAAAAAACCCTGAAAGGGGGTCTGGCTATGTAGAGAATGCAAGGCCTAGCCATCATATTGGCATATTTCTCAGATAGACAGGCAGGCAAAGGGCGTATATGCCACTCTTCAAAGGCTTTTAATCAAGGTCGTACTCTTTCCTGGCGTAGTAGTGCAAGGAGAGCGACTTGAGACTAAAGAAGAGGGAGAATTGTCAAAACAATAAATGATCTTAACCAGCATGCAAAAACGGAAAACGAAAATTATACAGGAAAGGGAAACATTATGACAGCAGAAAAATGAAACACAACAACCTTTCCTGGCTAAGATCCCGCCGCAGGCTTATTGTCCTTTTTGTTATCATTGTCTCCAGCCTTTGGCGGGTCGGACCCAATATCCCCCGCCTTAGCTTCAGCCGCGGCCTTCCTCACCTGCTCCGCTTCATCGGACTTGAGATCCTTATTCTTGATTTCCCTCTCATCGTCACTGTCGCCTAGGCTGAATGGATCATTGTCTCCAACGGGAGAAGGTTCAACGGCAGAGAGTGGTTGCCATTTGCTGGATTTGTTCCCACCGATGGACGGCTTGTTGTTACTCGAGCCGGAGCCTGGACGGTAACTTTCACTAATTTCTTCCGGAGGACCTTCCTGGAAGGAGACCTTTCGTCGATCATGGGATGGGGTGCTTGGTTTGAAAAGGTCGGGGTTTGCCAGTGGTCGTGTTGACCGGGGCGGTTCAGCTGTATTTTGGTTAGAGAATCTGCTGTTGTAGTACCTGGCAAAAGTTAAGGCGACATACCTTCGGAATCTCTAAGCTCTAGCGTGGAGAAATCATCACCCAAGACCTGAGGATCCGCATCGTACCTCTCACGATCACCACTTCGCCTGCCATCCCCGCTCCGTTTCATTCGATAGGTTTGGCTCTCTCCGTATCCCTGAGCATATCCCTGTGTAGGGCGAGGTGGGGTGTTTCCGTACTCATCCTCCTCGTCGCCCTCGAGTTTTTTCTTGAAATTTTGAACCCAGCTGGTAACTTTTGTCTGCGTCTCCAAGAACCCCTTTCGGATATTTTCCTTAATTATAGGCAAATCATCTAGGGAATGTGACAGACAAATATGAGTTTGATATTTCCATGTAAGGTATAGGTGCGGAGAACCAGACCATACCATCAAAAAAGTTATGCTCTCTGTCATCATACAGTTCATTTGGTTTCAGTCCTGTTTCCCTTGATTGTCTTGGCAAATGAGGTTCATGATCCCATGAGGAGTTGGGGGATCTATAACGCTGGGAAGCTCCACTGTAATGCTCCGCAAGCTGGCGCGCATACATTTCGTCGGCCTCGAGCTGTCGCTGAATGGGCGAATCCTTCCTGGGCGGTCGCGGGGGCATCATAGGAGGTAGGTCTATTTGCGCGCTGGGGTCCGACATGCCTATTGAAGAAACAATGCCATTAACTACTAATATCCGGCAAAGGAACAAATACGACGTTGATGTTTTCCATACCGAGCAGCGCATGGAATGATCTTTCCACATTCCCATCACTAGCTACCAAAACCGCCTTTATTACACTAGCATCAATGCTAGGAAACGCTTCCTTTAAAGTATTTTCGGCCTGTTGCATGGGGCTGAGCGGTCGAGGTGGTTTTGGGGGGGGTTCATCGTTGCTCGGCGTCAGCTGTGAGGATGGTGCGTCGGATGTTTGTGCTGCAACCACGCCAGACTCTTGAGGTTCATCGTCAAAATCCAAAGGACGAGCTGTAGTTGGGGACTCTGGAGGGTTATTTGGTGAAGCTAGGGCCTTCACAAGCGCATTCTACGGTCAATATCAGACCTCTCTCTAGATTGGAGGGAAACCGGTTATGCGGGAGAGGAAAACGGTTCATACATACAGGTTTCTCTCCGTCTGTCATTGTAACTGGAGGCTCAAGTCACGGGCAGCACACATACAAAAATTGAATGTCAAATAAAGTTGCGAAGGTATCGGAGAGAAAGATATTATTTGAGAAATAGTGAGAATCGCAAGGCAGAGATATTTCCAAGTCCTAGTCCGCGTGTTTACGGGCAAGCAACCGCCGACGAACCCTGATAGAACGGCTTAGATAAGCTCGCAAGAGTCCGCTGCTGTCAAACTAACTAATTAGATGCTTTAGCCTGATTAAGAGTTAGCTCCATACCCAGCCACAGCTGATGTCGCTTTGGCATGTCAGCCACAGTCGGAGCGCGGAGAAACTGTAAATACCCGTCGCTTCAGGCAAGTGCTGAGTCAGCCGGCGACCTTGGTCGAATAACAATTGTTTCTTCCGCCCGCGCTGCACCTCCTAAACATCCACCGGCAGAGGACTACTTTGTATAGCTCCTTATATAGCTCCAAGGTGTCTATGGAGTTCTATCTGCCGAGAAATATGGATTTCATGCATATATGCTGACTGCCCTTTCCAGTTGAGATGAATTGGCGCTTTTCAGTCCCTTCTCATCTCAATGGCATCCGATTTTGATCTCACAGCTTCGTTCATTCCGTCGCTGTATAAACCTGCGGCGTTACTACCAATTGCCCGTCACCGGGAAGCTCTCCTCTACCTTATAGAAACATATCCCGTGACTATTGTTGTGGGCCAGACAGGGAGCGGGAAGACTACCCAATTGCCCCAATTCCTCGATCAAGCAGGATGGTGTTCGGATGGGAAAATAATCGCCATCACTCAGGTATGCTACCGCATGAATCTGTTCATATCGATGTTTGGTTCGCTAAGATTTGTTTTTGCCAGCCTCGGCGGGTGGCTGCGACCACAGTCGCAGCTAGAGTGGCCGAGGAGATGCGATGTAAAGTTGGTGAAGATGTAGGCTATTCGATACGGTTCGAGGATGTGACCTCGTCGTCAACACGGATTAAGTTCTTGACGGACGGTTTATTGTTGCGAGAAGCCCTGGTGGACCCGCTGCTGTCTCGCTATTCAGTTATTATGGTTGATGAAGCTCATGAACGTTCTATAAGCACTGATATCCTGCTTGGCGTTCTGAAGAAAATCAGAAAACAACGCCCCGAACTACGAATTGTTGTCAGCAGTGCCACACTGCAGGCAGAAGAATTCCTGCGTTTCTTTGCTGGAGACGAATTCAATCCTGAAAGTGAAAATGAGCTAGGCGGCTCTATTGGCAGAATTATCACCATCGAAGGGCGGATGTATTCCGTCGACTGCCTCTTTTTGGAAACTCCCGCAGAAGATTACGTGGAGAGAGCTGTCAAAACCGTATTCGACATTCATACCAGGGAACCGGACGGGGACATCTTGATGTTCCTAACAGGAAGGGAGGAAATCGACGCCGTGATCCAGCAAATCTCAGAACGCGCAAATTCATTGCATGCCAAAGCTCAAGATCTTCTTCCATTACCCCTTTATGCCGGGCTCACAACCGAACAACAGCTCTACGTCTTCGAACCTGCACCCGAGAAAACCCGGAAAGTCATCGTAGCCACCAATATCGCTGAAGCCTCCATCACCGTTGATGGAATTGTGTATGTAGTCGATTGTGGTTTTGTGAAACTCCGCGCTTACAATCCAAATACCGGTATAGAGACGTTAACGCCAACCCCCATTTCCAAGGCATCCGCAACACAACGAGCGGGGCGTGCAGGACGGACCAGGATGGGGAAATGTTTCCGCCTCTATACTGAGCAGTCATATCAATCGCTGCCAGAGGTAACGGTTCCGGAAATCCAACGGTCTAATCTCGCACCCGTGATTCTTCAGCTCAAGGCCCTGGGTATCGACAACATCGCCCGCTTTGACTTCATTTCCTCTCCTCCGTCTGAACTTGTTGTTCGTGGCCTTGAATTACTGTACTCTCTCGGTGCTTTAGATGATTATGCAAAACTCACACGCCCACTCGGGATTCAAATGGCTGAGCTTGCAGTGGAACCGATGCTGGCAAAGGCTCTCCTTGGGGCCTCCTCTTTCGGTTGTCTGAGTGAGATTCTGTCAATTGCTGCAATGACAAGTCTGCAAGGCTCAGTCTGGTTCGAGAAAAACGGGGACAAGAAAGAGGCAGAGAGTTCGCGGCGAAACTTTGCTGTGGAGGAGGGGGACCATTTAACGTACTTGAACGTGTATCAAGCTTTTGTTACCAAGGGGAAGAAAGATGCCAAGTGGTGTCGAAACAATCGTCTCAACTACCGATCTATGGTCAAAGCCGTCAGCATCCGTGCACAGCTCAAGCGATACCTAGAACGCTTTGGGGTTAAAGTGGATGAATCCCTCTCATCCAGTCCTGCAACACCAGAACAAATCCAGCGCTGCCTCACAACCGGATATTTTGCACATGCGGCGAAGATGCAGCCAGATGGCAGCTTTAAACCTATCAGTGGCGACATAACGCTACACGCGCACCCGAGCTCTTTGCTGTTTGTAAGTGAACATTTCCTGCCAAATAATGCTTTTGGGGACTTGATGTTAATGATCCATGGAATCCTTAGAACCGCAAAGCGGATTGGGTTATCTTTCATGAAATTCTACAGACAGGCAGTAAGACATTTATTCGAGATCTCACGAAAATCGAGAAGTCGTGGCTTCTTGAATATGCCCCGGATTACTACCGAGTCAAAGAGTAAAGTAGGGAGTTCAGCCTAACCCGTATACCTTATCATGGTTCAGCGTTTCACCTCGGATCATTTAGTTCAAGAAATGGGCTAATGAGCCACCAAGTGGAGATTCAAGAACAACTGTTTGTTTATTTTTATTTTTTATTTTTTTGTTTCAAAGATTACATTTGGAACATGTAGATATACCACATAGTTTGAATAGGATTCCCAATCCGTGATAACCTTTAAATCGAGCCAATTGGATATAATCTTACAACAGGTACAACCCCTCGCTGTATAAACTTCGGGAAGAACATCGCAATATTTCTGCTAGTCCTGACATCATCAGCACAACCTCGCCCTCAAGCAGAATAAAAAGTCAATAAATGCCCCCATCAATCCCCACCTCCACCCGCTTATTTAGTCTAATGAACACGATATACAACACCTTCCTTTCAATGCCAAAGATAGAATCAACGCAACATGTCCCATCATCATCACAACCATATCCATGATGACCATGATGACCATGATGAGCACGACCATTCCTCCGACATCACGCCCGCACTACAATCGAACCTCTACCAGCAAATCGACTTTGATCACATTATCACCTTCAACGAGGCAGAGTCCAAATCCGGCGCGGCGATTGTGAGAAAAACATGGGCGCAGCGGTTGGATGACAAACCGGAGCTGGAGAGTGACGTCGATGAGCAATTGCTCATGTATATCCCGTTCGTCGATCCCCACTCCTTTCTCATACATAGTTATTTATTCTGCCCTGTGCACATTTGGCTTGTCACAATCGATGCCACACTCTTTTCCACCTCTCGTGGACGCAACCACTCCCTCAGCACCCCGCCCCCACCTCCATCTAAAAATAATAAAAATGAGGTAACTAACGCACAACCCCGCCCTAGCTTCACCGGCCAAATAAAACTGCACTCCCTCCTCCTCTACTCCCCCCCAATCCCCTCCGCCCCTAGAACCCTTAAACTCTTCCGCAACCGCCACGACCTCGACTTCTCTACCGCCACCGACCTAACCCCCACACAGACCCTCTCCGTCCCTCAAACGCTCACCGGCCCGGACTCAGACGTCCTTGAGATCCCCCTTAACAGAGCGCAGTTCAACAATACGACGTCCATCACGCTTTTTTTTGAGGATAACTGGAGTCAGGGGGAGGAGGACGTGACTCGGGTTTCGTACGTGGGGTTTAAGGGGCAGCATATGGCGCTGAATAGGGAGCCTGTTACGTTTTTGTATGAGGCTGCGGCGAATCCGAGGGATCATGTTGCTATCCAGGGGGTGCAGGGAGTTGGGAGGACAATTGGGCCCGGGAAATGAAAGGGGCGTTTTTGTTAATTTAGTTGTTATGGAGTGGGATAGAGGTATGGCTGTGATGATGCTATGTGATATATGACTTCTATATTTGGGGATATCTTGTTTTCTCTTGTATTTGTTATTTCGAGACTGATCGAAGATGGCTGTTTAGATATCACTTGGAATTTTGTTTGTTTGTCCTTTCTGCTCTTGAAGTTATTAGTGGATGTTACCTATTCCTTTTGCCATAAAAATTCCATATATAATATGCTGATTGCTTGTGATGCACATCATTAAATCATCCAACACTATTTGATTATTGGAGCAAATCCTTGAAATGAAAAATGCAAATATGAAGAGATAAAATAGAACCAGAAACTGAACCGAGATGCTTGTCACGCGCCTCAGCACAAATATAGAGGTGAGAAGACCGTAAAATACAATAATCCAATGGTAAACACGCCCCGCTCTATATAATAGATATATAAATAACCACCTGAGAATACGAAGGTGACGTATATCATCTAACGCCTGTATGCAATGACTATACACCAAAAAAAAGAAGAAGAAGAAAAAAGGTTATGCCTCCATCGCTATAGCTGCTCTTGCCCGAGCCCTAGCACGTTGCTTCTCCTTTTCCCGTTTCTGCTGTTCTGTCTCTTCAGGTAGCTCTGACGTGGGGACATCCGGAAGACGGACGGGCCCAGAGATCTCCTGCTCCATCGCCTCGAGCTCATCTTCTACCTCGTCCTCGTCTTGATTGGACATTTGGCCACCTAACATGCGGCTAACTTCCTGTAAAATCCCAACATGGGTTAGCAAAACAGAACCACATGAGAGCCCAAAAATATAATCTCTGCATGAAAAGCAAATCAGGTATATATATAATCAAACCTCCTGATACGCCCTGGCCTCCTCAGATTCACCCATAAGCTTCTCCACACCCTCTAACCCTCCCATCTCCCTGTGGATCGTCTGCAGCACCTTCGTCCCCTGCCTCAAGCCAAACAGCACGTCTTTCTCCACCAGCGCAAACTCGACACTACCCGTCAACCGCTCGAGCTGGTCCAGTTGCGCATCTGTCTTGGCCAGGAGAGACTGTTGGTATTTCTTGCGGCGGAGAGCGAGCAGGGCGCGTGCCCGGTCGTTGCGAGCTAGACATTCCCGCGCGATTTGGGTTTCGCGGTCTGTAAGGATTGTGATGCGCTTTTGGTATTGGTGAAGTTTGTCGCGTTGGTTTTTTAGGTTGAGGATTGCTCTGTTAGAGGGTTGTGGGGAAGCGGTTAGCTGGATTTGCTGGATTTTATCTTCTTTGGGATATGCGGATGGGAAGTCCTGAACGGATATGGGGTCGTTGTGGTTGGGCAAAACGTACCTATCCTGAGCGGAGATTTTATGCGAACTGGGGGTGTTGCCCATTGTTGTCGCATTCTCCTTGCTGCGAAGGAGGAATAGGGGATGTTGATCGAAGTGAAGTCGCTTGAGGAAGTGGTACGAATGATGACATATCTTGCTCAGGGGTACCTAATAATGGGGTCTGGTAATACGAATACTGTACGGTACCGTATGAAACACTAGACTGATAAGATAAGATCTTTACCTCATGTGATTTCAACATCATTCGAAGATCCCTCAAATAACATATTGCACCCACACTTTCCAAGGGTTGATTGGGATAGACAAAGAAGAAAAAGTGAAGGTATCAAAAGCAATTTGCATGTCCATGGTTCTACAAAATTCCTTGCTACTGCTTTGTGATGCGAACTTTCAACCATTCATTAGGCGCGGAGAGCACTTTTCAAATCAAATCACATGACCTTCGATACCGGGATATTGTTTTTCCACGCTGCAAACGGACTTTTTAAATTTATTGCGGCTTTGCGGCGGACGACGACGAGCTCTCCGGGAGAGAAATAAGGAGAGTGGATATAGGCGGCGGCTTCGATCCTTGCGGGATGGCTCCCAGAAACCGCAGTGGCAGGCCGACCCTGGGACACGGTCTGGATAAAGAGGTACGCTCATATACACTGGGTCACTCGGATAAATCATTTATGGTCCCCATGTCAAGAAACAGGCAGGATGCTGATTCGACCCGTCTATCGCAAATATAGGTATACCAGATAGTACGCAAGATCGCGGACGACCTGCAATTGGAAGGAGAAAATGTCCGCTTAACTCCACCATTCGTCTACGACCGGATTAAACGGTCAAATTCGAGTCTCAACCGCAGAGGGAAGAAGTTGTTGGAAGACAGTATCGAAAGGGTGTTGGAAGTTGTGAAAACTGATGTGCTGGGTGATGAGGAATCAGATTCGATTGGAGGGGATTTTGAAGGGCTGGAAGGGAATGATGTTGCGGTAGGGTTCCACCCGCCCGGGATCCCAGGCTTGGGGTCTATTATCTATCTCTAAATCAAATCTAGCATGGTTGTAGCTAACCCGACATAGGCCTCTAATGGTATGAATAAGAGCATCGTTGGGATGTGGGGGGCAAAACCAAAGACTTCAGCTATCGTTAAAAAATCAGCGGATGCGTCAGGAGTTGAATCGGCTTCACCAATTCCCACTACAGTCACGCTAAATAAACGGCGACAGGTCGGAGGAGAGTCACACCCAAAGAGGCGGAAAGCTGAAAGCAGCATCGACAGGTCGCCTCCTACACACGTAAGTTTGGCAGATCTAGGTGGAGTGGACGATGTAATCCAAGAGCTGGAAGACCTTATCGTCCTCCCAATGACACGCCCTCAAGTCTTTTCTTCATCCAAAGTGCAACCTCCCCGAGGGGTGTTGCTTCACGGTCCTCCTGGTTGCGGTAAAACCATGATTGCCAACGCCTTTGCAGCGGAACTGGGTGTGCCGTTTATCGCAATCTCCGCTCCGTCTATAGTTTCTGGTATGTCAGGAGAATCCGAAAAGGCACTACGAGAGCACTTCGAAGAAGCAAAGAAGGTCGCACCTTGCCTCGTTTTCATCGATGAAATCGACGCAATCACTCCTAAACGTGAGAGTGCCCAAAGAGAAATGGAAAAGCGTATCGTTGCCCAGCTGCTTACCTGCATGGATGATTTGGCATTGGAGAAAACGGACGGGAAGCCTGTTATCGTCCTAGCCGCTACCAACCGTCCGGACAGCCTGGATGCAGCACTCCGGCGAGGTGGGAGATTTGATAAGGAGATCAATCTTACCGTTCCTAGCGAGCCTGTGAGAGAACAAATCCTGCGTGTTCTAACAAAGGATATGAATCTCGCAGACGACTTGGACTTTAAACTCCTGGCAAAAAGAACACCCGGATTCGTCGGGGCTGATCTAAACGACCTCGTATCCACTGCCGGATCGGCTGCCATAAAACGATACATCGAACTCCTTAAATCACACACAGGCGACGAAATGGAGATCGAAGGTACGGCACGGGTTGATGATGACAACAAAATCAGTCCCAAAATCCGCGAACTACGCCGTCTCATAAAACACGCCCGCGAAACCCCTCTGGACTCCGAATCTCAAACAATCTCCGTCTCCAACGCCGACTTCTTCACTGCTCTCCCCAAAATCCAACCCTCCTCCAAACGCGAAGGCTTCGCCACCATCCCAGACACAACATGGGCAGACATTGGCGCCCTAGGCGGCATCCGGGACGAACTGTCCACTGCAATCGTCGAACCAATCCGCAACCCAGAGATCTATGCTCGCGTCGGCATCACCGCACCCACAGGCGTCCTACTCTGGGGTCCGCCAGGTTGCGGAAAGACATTACTCGCCAAAGCCGTCGCCAACGAGTCACGTGCAAACTTCATCAGCGTCAAGGGCCCTGAACTGCTGAACAAATTCGTCGGAGAGTCCGAACGCGCCGTTCGCCAGGTATTCGTGCGCGCCCGATCATCCGTCCCATGCGTCATTTTCTTCGATGAACTCGATGCCCTCGTGCCCCGTCGCGACGATACGCTCTCGGAAGCTTCTGCACGTGTCGTAAACACGCTTCTCACTGAGCTTGATGGGCTGGGGAGCGCGAGGCAGGGTATATATGTCATTGCGGCTACTAATCGGCCGGATATCATCGATCCGGCTATGTTAAGGCCCGGCCGGCTGGAGACGTTGCTGTTTGTTAATTTGCCTAGTGCGGATGAGAGGGTGGAGATTTTGCAGACGCTGGTGCGGAATCTGCCGATTGAGTTTTCGGATGAGATGAGGGGCTTGGCGAGGTCGTGTGATGGGTTTAGTGGTGCTGATTTGGGGTCGTTGTTGCGCCGGGCTGGGTATTCGGCTATTAAGAGAAGGGATACGATTCGGTTTGAGGACTTTGTGGTTGCCAAGGCGGGGATTAGACCTAGTGTGTCTGATTTGAAGAGGTATGAGAAATTGAGGAGGGATTGGGAAGGGGGGAATTTATTATAAATTGTATTTTCTTTCTCTCTTCTTTTTGAACCTTGGGCTCTTCCAACCTTCTGGGATTGATGATATGGTTCATATGGCGCCTTTTCTTCTTCATTGACTTCCGGAGGCCCTATTACTATGTTCGACCTTTCGTGCCTCCTAAACCGACTTTGAACAATCAGCAGAGCCGATTCTCACGAGCTGCACTCATCAGTGATGGATATACTCTACGTGTAAATTAAAAAAAAATGTAAGCATTGGGAAACCCCTGTCTGCAATCAAATACCCCATTGCCAGTCCTCTAAAACTCTTTTATTATAACTATAAGGGGAACAAAAATACGACGAAAAACCGTGCTTCCTTTGCAAATACTGAACCAGTTAACTTCAGAGGTATATGCTATGATGTAAAACCAAGAAGATATCCTACATCCACAACCGACACGTCCCATCCGCACCGGCACTGACACACCACGCCTCTTTCGGATGCCAATCCAGATCCAAAACACCCAACTCGCCTGTAACCTTATGGCCCCGAAGAACTTTCAATGGAACAATGCTAGCGTTACTGAGAAGATCACCCGTAACGCTTCCGTGGAAGATTTGCAGGGACCCATCATCACTCGCATCAGCAAAGAGTGGGTAGTTCGCATGA